GTAAGGACTTGTTGATGAATAAAAAACTACTACAGTTAACTTCATTTTGGTCTTTTTTAGCATTTTTCAATTTTTTTTCAAAATTGAGGAGGCTATAAATTTTTTCTTAAAAAATGAGCCACTTGTTGAAAAATAGAAAAAAGTTATGAGGCTTTAAAGTAGTTTGTTTTTACAATTCTTAAATCAAGGGGGGCCACTGCGCAGTGTTTATAAAGCTATATTTTCTGAACCGTTGCGCTTGAAAGTCTGAAATTTCATCATAATCTACATAATGTAGAAAATGATATGTAAAAATCAACAAAATCTGAGATGGTGCCCCACAAAGTTTTCTCAAAATTGGTTGAAATTTAATGATTTGACCCAACTATAGATACTGTTATACGCTGCCTTCTCAACCTCTGCTCCTTATTTTGTTCACCCTCAATTTACACTGATTGAGTAACTCAGTTTAGAAGTTTAAAAGTTCAACAGTTCCTTCAGAGAAATGATTTAATCAAAACCATTGATTCGATAGGCGTGTCGATATCCAATAAGTATGAATGTTCTGGTAATAGATTCTTTCCGTATCACAGGTGAAAACACTTTTTGGTAGATATATTGAGTTGACAATTATTTGACCATTCTGAAATTTTCTTTAAAGTATTTACAAGGTTGATATTATTTCCGTCTTTTCTCGCTTGATACAACTTGCTGTCGTCTGCAAAAAGCTTGATTCCACAATCCCCCTCAATACACGAGGTTATATCGTTTATAAAAGTAAAAAATAAAATGGGTCCCAAAAAAGTTCCTTGAGGTATTGCATTTTTTACATGAATGCTGTTTGAGTATGAATCATTAATACAAACACATTGAGAACGATTTGTCAAGAAGTTTGTAACCCAATTTAGCAACTCATACTTGATACCGTAACAAAACAGTTTAAATAGTAACTTAGAGTGAGACACAGTATCGAAGGCTTTCTTAAAGTCTATATAGATGATATCAATTATCTTTTTATTATTAATAGCAGTGGTCCACTAATTAAATAACTTGTAACGCTTTCTATGATAATTGATTCCATAAATAGGTCTATAGTTTGTGGATAACGACGGGTTTCCTTTTTTAAATATTGGACATATTATTGCGGTTTTCCAGATCCTAGGGATAACATTTTTGGACATTGACATTTTAAACAAAATAGAAAAAGGAATAGCAATAACAATTGCAATTGACTTTAAAAATATGGCAGGATATCCAGGGGATTTGGAAGATTTGGGTGGAAGCTTTTGTAGATGATGAAACAACAGAGTTGTATGAAAATATAATCTTATTTAAAGAATTTTTGTGTTTTGGTAAATCTAAGACTAGTGCAATACCATTGTCAGTAACAAAAACAGAGCCAAAAAAATTGTTCAAAAGTTGCGATTTTTCACAATCATCTGTGATAAGGGAACCATCAGTTTGAAGTAATGGTGCAACAGAATTATAGCATTTGGATTTTTTATTTACGAAAGAGTAAAACTTGGCAATATTGGATTCAACAACTAAATCTTTCTCTCTGGAAATACAATTTTTTTGAACTTCTACAACATATAAACGGGAGCAGATCTTGAATTTGACAAGAGTAGACGGATTACCTGTTCTTTTGTAATCTCTATAGAGAGTACGTTTTTTGGAGGTCAATTTTCGAATGGCTAGAGGTTGGATATTGTTTTTTCTATTATAAGTTAACGGTACATGCAATGAGATAGATGAATTTAAAAAATTACGCATAGTTTGCCAGAATGTTTCAATATCTTGATTTTGTTTGGCTAGTAAATAATCAGCTTTGAAAAAATTATACTTGGTCAGTTTTTTATATGGTTTATATTTCTCCAAATTACAGTTGAAAATAATAATGCAGTGGTCGCAGGTACTTGTGAATGGGGCAATAGTTTCTATATTGAAAACGTTTTTAGAGTTGTTGGTTAGTATCAGATCTAGAAGTTTGTTAAGTTGAGTATTGTCGAATACAAGTTGGGTTAAAGCATTTGCGGAGATATATATATATATATATATATATATATATATATATATATATTTATATATATATATATATATATATATATATATATATATATATATATATATATTTAAATCATGCTTTATATAACACCTTATTCAAATAAGCTAAACATGCATATATTTTTTATAAATAAATATAATTATATAATAAAAAATTATATGCATAAGTATACGTATGCATTATGTAGACATTTTCATATAGGGATAATATATTTGTTACATAAATATGCTTTACAAACAGATACCAATTTATATTTTCGCTTTTCTTTTTAAAAAACAAGTGAATAAAATATAGGAAAATCATTATTTTTAATGTCAGCTAAAAACTGTTGTTTTTTTTTTTTGCTTTTCCTTATCCAATTATGTAACTAAAAATAACAAACATTCTAAAGAAACAAACAAAAAAAAAAACAGTACACAAATTATTTAAATTATTAATTAAAAAAAATTTTTTTTTCTTTTTTAATTTATTTTAATTTCTTTTTTTTGAAGCTTAGTTTTTTTTCGCACCTTTTTTTTTAAATATAATAAAACTCGCAAAGTTTTATTATATTAAAAAAAACTTGCATTCAAGATGAAAAACCACACACGTTTCCTGGTGAGGCCTGCATATTCAATTCGCTTATCATTACTTTAATAAAATCAAATTTCTTTTTGTTCAAAAGTTAAAATAAAAAACTTTAAAATTAGAAGTATTTCAATGTTCAAATTAATGTCTGATTATGTGGAAAAAAATAAACTTTCTAGTTCATCATTCTGCATTTTGTTCTGTTAGCTTCTGTTGCATTTAACTTTTTTTTTAAATTTATTTTTTACATTCGTTTGATAGGTTAAAGATAATTTTGTCATTTTCATTTATACAGAGAAATATCCTATTTTTATAACCAGAGAGAATAAGTTAGGGTGAGAGCAGGCATCATCTCAAGCCCAGGAAGAACACAACCTAAAACAGCCAGTCGCCTATGAGAAAATCTTTGCTTTAGAGTATTATATGTCACACCAGTGATTTCAAAAAATTCAAATGCCTACTAACATCTAGGCTAAACTTAAAATCAATGTAGATATCCAGTATTTTTTTGAATATTAAAAATAAAGTAAACTTTTTGACAATATTATGTAGATTATTACAAATATCACTATCAACATCAAGTTAGGAACCGCTTTTCATAGTCTTATTTCAAACCCATTAGTTTTTCCCAACTTTTTTTTTCTTATCTGAAGTTAATTGAATTTTACCATGTCTCGTGGTGTTAGAGCAAAGCCATTCAGTGTGATCATTGTTTAAGAACTGAATCTACAACATAGCGCATGTACATACAAGTTTACCTACTTTTTTTGCTAACCTAAATCAATTCCTTTTTTTAAATACATACAATTTTTTTGCAAAAAAAAACAAAAATTAAAAAAAAAAACAAAGAATAAAAAAAAAAAAAAAAAAATAAAAAAAAAAACAAAAAAACATTGCTAACTCAACCCAAACCCTCAGTCATTATAACACCAACTTGCATTTTCTCCCTATATCAGCAGATGTATGTACTGAAGCCCTCACAGCTCCCTAAATCAGTATGATATCAGAATGCTGATCTAAGTGATTTTTCATATTTGTATATGTATAAAGTTTTATTTCTTTATTAATTAAAAATACAATATTAAAGTTTTATACATTTGTATCTCATAGTATTCTATTATGACCAAATCTCAGAATTGAGCAGCACTAAAACCAATTGATTAATTTTGCCTCTTACCGGTTATATTTTTGGATTATCATAATTATCATAATTTAAATCAAAAAAAAAATTATGAATAATGTTATGTGTTCACTGCTGTATAGTAACTGTCAAAAAAAATGAATTTAATTTAAAAAAGGTGGTAAAACAAGTTGTATTTATATCAATAAGAAACATTATAAATCCTATTCTAGTATTTTTATTGTGATACTAACACTAGAAAGATTATTATACAAGATTTACAAGCGTCTTCTACTTCTGTCCACAATTATATTAAAGGTTTTTCAATCAGAATTTTTCTTCTAGGTAAGTTGACTTCACCTTGGTAAAGGGCTTCACCTGTCCTATAAGAATAATAATCACAAATATTCAAAATGTGACAGTAGTTTTGAGTTGCACCATTTGCCTTAGTTGGAGCCCAGTCGTACCTTAATTACTAAATACCCTTTTTTATTTAACTAGTGAATTAGTTAATCTGTATTGCAATTGTAAATGAATCTAACACTTAATGATCAGAAAAAAGCTTAGATGATCATTTAATTTCAGACATACATTGTGGCATACATTGAATTTTGAAAGGAATTTGACACTGCTTACCTTTTTTTATTAAAAAACTTTATATCTCTGCCAGATAAAACTTTAAAAACATTTATATTTTTATTATAAAATTTAAAAAATAAAAAATTTAAATATTTTTATAAATAGATTTTAACATGACTTTCTAATAGGTATTAATGGGATTTGGTACTTTGCTTTCTGAGCCAAATAGCGTTCAAAGTTGTTAACATATGAAAGAATTTGTGGTTTGGGATCGCAATTTGTAAAAATATTACCAGCTTCAAAATAAAAAATAAAGTAAAAATTAAATAAAAAATAAAAATATTAATTTCTAATATTGTTAAGTTTGTACCATATACTAATTATTTTGTTGTCATTTGTGGTATTTTTATTTTGTCATTTGTGGTTTTGTTTTGTTAATTGTTATGTATAATTATTATGTACTATTAGATTATGTTGTCAATGTCATATACATCTTTCGGACCTGTGTGTCCATTAGAATTTTATTTGTTCTAATATATTGATAATAAAAATATTATTTGTACTAATAAATTGATCTAAAAAATCAAACAGTAAATTGATTTAGAATCAGCGCAACTAAAAATAAAAAAGCGGTTTAACACATTTTTTAGCTTTCAAGTAAGTTAGATAGATAATTATATTTTATTTTAGATTGGTCCTGTTCATCCATACAAAACACAACAACAGTTAGCTAAAAGAAACACATTAGCTGGTAAGTCTTATTGATTTTTGTTTGGAGTACAATAGTAGTATACACTGTTTATGCCAATACTGAAAATTTAGATACCACAAAATTTATGAACCAAATTGTAACAATTGTAAAATTTAATAAAGACTTGTAAATTATGTTTTTAAAATGCCTAAAAAACATGTTATGAGAACAAAGTTTTAAACGATTCTTTTGTTTACTAGATTTCAAAACTAACCCTCAAATAATCAATTAATAATGTAATACACCTCAATGAACTCTTTACCTTTTTAATATAAAATAATCTTTTTCCAAGCTCTAAAGATTTCTTAATTTTATTAGGAACTTGATATCTTTGTACAGGGTTCCTACTCCTCCTTAAAAATTTTAAATATCCTTAAAAAATAAAAGCCTTCTTAAATGTTCTTAAATAACCTTTAAAAAAGTTAAAATTTGACTTCTCCTTAATTTCTCCTTATTTTTTTTTAAGCATCTAGGAATTTTTATTAAAAGGAATGTATTATACTTATTAATAAAGAAGAAAATTCTTTGATAGTTTGCAAACTTATATTTTTATTATATAGATACCACAAATATATATATATATATATATATATATATATATATATATATATATATATATATATATATATATATATATATATATATATATATATATATATATATGTATATATATATATGTATATATATATATATATATATATATATATATATATATATATATATATATATATATATATATATATATATATATATATATATATATATATATATATATATATATATATATAAATTAGTAAAAAATCACTCAACAAAAAAATATATATATATATATATATATATATATATATATATATATATATATATATATATATATATATATATAAATTAGTAAAAAATCACTCAACAAAAATTTATTCTCAATTTACACTGCGCTTCATCATCAGAAAATCACAGTGTAAATTGAGAAAAAATTTTTGTAGAGTGATTTTCTACTAATTTATAATTGCTCTGTTCTTTTAAAAACATTGAGCACTCTATTTTGTAGAATACATTTTAAAATTGTTTATATATAAATATATATGTATGTATATATGTATATATATATAGACTTGGACAGGAATGGCGTGCGATCGCACTCTGTAACTTGACCATGGCTGTTTTGATGTTTTAAAAGTAAAAAGTGTTATGGATATCTTTTAATCGTTGATCTTTTCTAAAGTTTTTATTTCACACGAAAGGCTTTAAAATAAAACCATGTAATTATCTTTAATGATTGTTTACATAAGCGCATGTGTAAATTAACAAAAAATGTTATATATAAATTATTTTTTGTGTAGGCATGACAAATTTAAACGTTTGAAACTATTTTCCCATGTTTTCCTAAAAATCTTTCAAAGCATTAATTTTAGAAAGATTTTTTTTGAAGTTACTTTAGTTTATGAATAAGTTCAAAACATTTGGCTAGCTTTTAGACATTTTATGTGAATTAAACAAGAATATAAAATAACTTTATTTACTTATATAATGTATTTTGTTGATTAATGGAAAAGTTTTGAAGCATTTGTAATGTTCATACAATTAATTTTCATAACTTACGATTTTTTAAAATCTTTCAAACAAACATTTTATTTTTTGAAAAACAATTTTTTTATTTTATTTACAATAGGACTGAATGAGTTGAAATCATTTATAATAATTTTTAAAATCATTAAGTGAAGCGCTTAATAATAAAGTTAAAATGCTCAAATTAAAATTTAATTAAATTGCTTGTTGGTAGTTTAATTTAAATCACAGACGCATTTATTTTATTTATTTATTTTATTTATTTATTCATTTTTTTCTTATTTTTACGAATAAAAGAGTTGGAAACTTTTTTTTAACTAGACATTAATTAGAGCATCAAATTATTAAAAATTACTATTTTAAAAAGACTACGTTATTTTTTTATACAATTTTTTTTTGTGCAACTTACAACACTTTTTAATAAATTTGATAAAAATTGTTTATTTATTAAACAATTGTTTAATTGTTTACTATAGTAGTAATTTGTTAATTTAAAAGCGTTCGGCGTAACTTAAATAAAGAATTTAAAAAGATTTATTTCTAACGTGATTAAAAACCTAAAAAAATGTTTCACTTCGAGTTTAAATTTTTATTTTTTATTTTTATTATAGTGCTTATATAATTTCTTTTTTGTAAAGAATTCTTTTTTCGTTAATTTTTTTCAACTTTTTTGCTAGTTTAAGTTTAGCTTAGCGTTTCTACCAGGGATACAGAGTCCCAAAAAGGACTAAGGATTTGAAAGTCACAAAAAGATCACTTATTTCCTAGTTCTTCTTATCCAGGAGCTTTAAATATATAAAAAAGCTTATGGGCTACTAATAGGGAAAAAATCAAGACTGATAGTTCAAAAGAACAATAAATTTTTGAACCCAGATTCCTTAGGTATAATGGCAGCAAGGACTCAGGGACTCCAGGACTCCAGGCTTAAAAACAAAAAGTTTCAAGCCATTAAATATCATAATTTTTTTTCTTATAACAGATCATTAATCAACCAACATGTTTAGAGCTTCTGGACACCAGAGACCATAAAAAAATAAAGTTATAAAGCCGGAGTCCTTTTAGGACTCCGCATTCCTGGTTTCTACATTCAGCGCATTTCTGAAATGTTTAAATCATCAAAACATATATGCAATCGTGGTCAAGTTGACAAGAAATAAAATCATTTGCGTGGTCAGCAATAGTATATATATATCTATATATATATATATATATATATATATATATATATATATATATATATATATATATATATATATATATATATATATATATATATATATATATATATATATATATACACACACACACACATATGTAAGAGCGATTCTTATAAACTAGTGGCTTTCTACATGTTTTGTTGATGTATGTTTTTTCCTGGTTATTTTGTTATGGTCTCAAAATTGCGTTTAATTCGGACCTTTACTTTTTGGAAATTTCGATTTAGATATGGTCTCAAAGTTACTTTTAATTCGGACCGTAGAGAAAACTTTACTTCTTAACAATATTTTTATATCCTTTACTACATGGTTACATTTATGCAGGTGACATTTTTAATGGTTTTTGTGTGACATTTTTTTACCATAGATTATTTAATTATTGTTATGAATTTGGGTTTGGCGGGTTGCTCATTTTCATTCACTTTCATACATTCATAATTTTCATACATTTTCAAACACTTTTGATTGGTAGTCAAGTTTTTAATTATTTATTGTAATAAAAGTAAATGATTTACTTTAACATTCTTAAGAAATGTATTGGAAACTTTTCTTTTGTGCAAGTATTACAACTTGTTTCAGCATTTTTGCTTTTTTTTTATTGAGAATGTAAGTGACATCTACGATCCTTTGCATCGATTTGAATTAAATGTTCAGGTTTGTGATATAGGTTTAGAAATGTGATTTGTGATTCATCCTTTAGTGATTTAATGATTCATCCAGTATATATTACTAATGTTGCTGAAATTGCAATGTGAGATGATGATTAAAAGTTCTTGCATTCTCAGCATGTTTTTTGATTAGAGAACTAATTTGTCTTTAAAGAGCTCTAAGAAATAAATTTCTTTATTTCTTGTTTATAATGCCATATTTGAAAAATCAAATAACTTTATAAAAAAAGGCTAACAGTTTTTCTTTTTATCATAGGGAAGAAGGATTTCATGTACAAATGTGTGCTGCTTTTAACAAAAATTTGTTGTAAAATTTTATAATAGAGCTTTCTTGTTTTTATGGTACCCTTCTGTGAAAATACCCTTCTGTGAAAATGTGGATTATTCTTATGGAATGGCTTTAATGCTTTATTATTAAATTTTAATGCTTTATTAGACTTAAATGCTTTTACTAGATTTTATATATTTTAAAGATATTTTTAAGATATTTTTAAGATATTTTTTACTAACTCCTTTAACGATTGCAGTAGATTACAAATTAGAACTGTATATACTACATAACAACACTTAGTTGTCTATTGTTTGTTATATGTCTACTATTATACATCTATATGTATTATTACTTGGTTGATGTTATAATTTTTTAAAATAAATATTTAATTTTATAGGTTTTGTAGAAAAAGCTAATGTAAGTGATTTTCAGTTTGACAACCAGCATAAGACTTTTATTAGTTATGGTGAGTTTTCTTTGTTTCTATGCATGTTTTGTGATACTTTTGTCTATGTAAATGATTTGTTTGTTGTTTTATGTCTGTGTTATATTCTTTTTAGTATGTGATTTTACTTTAGGATATGCATTGGATCCAAGCACTGAAGGGGAAACGTATGCTGTTAAAATAAATTTTATGTTTTGCTAAAGGAAATAAAATATTTAAATAATAAAGTTATATATGCATTTATATAATTACACCACAAAAATTAATTATACATTACATCACACACAAAAAAATTGCATTTCTGAAGAGTCTTAATTGATAAAACACAGTGTAAAATGAAAAAGATTTGACAAGTGGTTTTCTACTAATTTATTATTGCTCTGGTCTTTTAAAAACATTTACTTTGTAGAATGCATTTAAAACTAATCTTATACATATATATGTGTGTGTGTGTGTGTGTGTGTGTGTGTGTGTGTGTGTGTGATATATATATATAAATATATATATATATATATATATATATATATATATATATATATATATATATATATATATATATATATATATATATATATATATCAGGCTTTGTTTTAAATAAAAAAGTGCTTATTACATTAGCTTAACGCGATATTTGACGTCATAAAGTTATCTTTATTTTTTTTATAGACATTAAGTGTTTAACTACTGCAATAAATAAATAACCGCTAACTAGTTCAATTTAACAATTAACTCAAATAACTATAAACGTTTTAAATGTAAATATATATTGAAAATTTTGTCATATATTGATAAACAAAAACCCTTTTTAATTATTTAAACAGCAGGCCTTGTTAAGAAACGTTTCCCTATTTGAATTTTACGTACGCATTCACGGTTTCATGTACGCATTTTGCAATTTACATTACGCAAAAACTTTTTTCAATAAGATTATTTTAAACAGTCTTTTAAAACAGATTATGCGGAAAACATTAAACTGTAATTAATTGTAGGAAAAAATCATTTGTGGAATATTTTTTTTATTAGATAATAAAACAGATAGATATCCTTTTTTCTATTTTCCGTTTTTAAAAAAAATATATTTTAATTTATTTTATTAAATTTAAATTAATTTTATTATTATTCATAGTTTTAGTTATTCATTTGATTAAATTTAATTAAAATTCTTTTAAAAATTTCAAAACGCTTGGTTTTACAAATTTTTTTTACTGATAAAAATTCCAAAATTTATGTTAAAGTTAAAAAAAAATTTAATAAATTTAATTCAAGTTACATGTTCGCGTTACATATAACTTTATTTTAATTGCAGTTAAGTTTCAAGCAAGTTCCAGTTCCAAATACTGGTCTGAATTATGCACTTTTGTAGTTAATAAATGATGTCAATACAAAAAAGTCCTTTTAAATTCGAGTTTAAATGTTATGTTTGGGTTTTCCCTTTGTCGTTGAGTTTCATGTAGAAGAATTTTTTTGTTTAAAACGAACCAAACTTTAAACCGCTTAAAATTAATGCGATCAATAAACTCTTTAAAAGCCCAACTTATATTTATTTTATTTGGAAAACAAAACTTATACTAATGCTATAAATATGATACGTAAATTTCAAAATTATACTGATATTTGTTAAAAACAGGTTCTGATAATAACATCTTACAATCAAAAATATTATTTTTCTTCTTGGATTTAGTAAGAATTAGTAAAAATACATTAGGTTTCACGGTACATAAAAATATTTTAATGGAAGTAAACAAAACAAAACTAAAAAGCGGTAATCTTCGTTTAATTTCAATTTTTATTTTATCAAAAGCCAGTAAATAAAATGCTTTAGGTAGCGCCAATGTTTTTATATAAAGGGAAAAACCCAATCTAATTGAGTAGTAGTAAGTACATTTAAATCCCTTTAAGAAAATCAACCGTAAACAATAGTTTCCTCATTTTTAAAAAAATAACCATAAAAAGAATGTTTTAAAGAAAAAAAATTAAGTTTAAATAAGTATAAGATTCTCAAGTAAATTTTTTTTTTTAAATCAACATTTAAATTTATTTTATAACTTTTTTTATAACAATATTGTTTAGTTTAAAGATATTTCATTTAAAAGACTTACAATAATTTCTAATGTGTTTTTGAATTTAATTATAAGGTATTTTAAAATACGCAACTGACACAATTAAACTTTTAACATTGTAAATATAAAGTTACATTTATTCATGTTGCGCTTTTACGCAACAAAATCTCATAACAAGGCCTGAAACAGCAATTTTGTTTTGACCAGCAAAGAATAATTTAGGTTTTTAAGTATTTTTTTAAATTTATGTTGCTTAGCGTTTTATAAAAAGTTTCATATCTTGCGTTGTATAAAAAGTTTCATATCTGCTTTGAGCATATTTTTGATACATAGTTTAGAACACGTTCGCCAGAGCTATAAGGAAAAATCATTTTTAATGATTAAATTTTTTTTTCGAATGTTATGAAATTAAAAAAAAAAAAATTAAATTAAATATATAAGTCTAATATATTATAATATAGTATAACGCAATATAATATAATATAATAATAACACAATACTTTAATCGTGCAAACTTACTCAACTCAAAAAATACTCAACTAAAACAATATAAGTATACTTTACATTGAGTTACATTGAATCGTATCTGTTCAGGGTTGTAGCTGTGTGGTAATGATTTAGTTCAGGGTTATTCAGAAGTGAGAGCCACAACTCAACACATTCGGATAGGTGACAGCTGTAATATATTTATTACATAATACGTAATATATTTATTTTTATTACTTTTCCTTTACACCTACAAAATCTTATTATGTAAAAAAACTTTAATTTAAAAAAATTAAATACTTGATCTAAAACAACACCAAATATTTTGAGTTGGGTTTGAAGACTGTTAGCTTCTCAATATTGCTCGATTTTCAATAATTTTTCTGATTTTGATAGGTATATCATGATTATATACTATTTCTAGATAAATTTGGTAGTTTTCTATGTATGTTTCTATACAGTCAATTTGGGAGTTCCATTGGGTATCGTTTGGTAACTGATGCCCTACTTTCTCACGCAACCATCCCTTAAAATAAAAATTGAATAGTTAATTTTAAACTTTTATATATTTTTTATACTTTAAGTTTAACCCACAAATACAAAATAATGTTTACATGCGGTTGATGTGTATTATGAAAACATTTCTGCACTTCAACCACATGTTTGATGACATCTGGGTGTGTTACTTCTTTTTCTAAAAGGTTTAAATAATGTGCAGAACACCATGTTAAAAGATTTGGATACATTTCTTTGATTGAATCCCTCATTTTTTTCATCTTATTTTCATTATCTGTTACCACAGCAAATACTTCTTTATTACATGTTTCTTTAAGATCTTTAATGACATTACAAAGGAGTTCGGTACAATACTTGGCTGTTTTTTTATTTGATGCACAATCAGTAATGCATAAAATTTTAGAATTAGGTCCGTCATACACACTGTGAGCAATAATGGGATCATTAGTAACACTACTCTATCCATCTGGCATAATTGTTATTGTTTTCTCTTCTTGGGTAAGTTGATCCATCATTTTTTGTTTACTTCCTCATAAACTTTTTCTTAGAGCTCTCCTAGCATTTTACGGTTAGGTGGTATGTATCCTGGTCTCAATGAATTGATCATGTCTGTAAATTCTTGATTTTCAGAAGTTTTAAATGATACATTTGCACTGAAGAAAAATTTTGCTATTTTTATATCAATATTTTCTTTCTGTTCCATATTAGTTGATATTGTGTACGATGACATCAACCGCTGCTTCTTACAAGGTGTTAAGGAACTTATAGAACTTACAGATACCAAAGAACTTTTTCCATCTTGAGATGATGGTTATTAGAGCAGATGCACTATTAGAGCAGCTATTAGAGCAGATGCACTAAAATTTAAATCATTATTTGGTACATCATCACAATTTTTATTTAAATATTTTGACAAATTGAGATTTTCCCCTTCTGTATGCTTGTGTAAAAACTTAAACTTTTTTTGGCAATGTTTTAAATGGGGTTTTACTTGTTCCATCTTGTTGCTAATCAAAGCATGACAATAGTGACAAGAAACCTTTGTACTGTTTTCAACTTCATTCACTTCATCCCATTCTCCAGCTTTCTTTCTCCCACTTCCCATCGGCATTTTTAATTATAAAAAATATTATTATTAAATCTAAAATAAATCAATACATATAGGTTTATCATGATTTTTTTTTTTATTTTGTTACATTTTTAGATTTTTTTAAAACTGTAATTAAAAAAACTTTATTGAAAATAAATTGAGGTGTATAAATTTTAAAAACTTATAAAATATATTCTAAATAAACTTAAAGTTAAAAATGATATTAGTTTTCAATATTATTAAACAAACAAAAAAATTTTTTAAACAAAAATAATAAAAAGAAACAACCAAAAAAACCCAAAAATACCCGGCCCAGTGGTTTTAAAAAAAAACCCACTGGGCCGGGTTTTTTTTAAAAAAACTCGGGTTTTTGCCAACCCTGTATCTGTTTATAATAAACGTTAAAGTCGTTAAAATTTGTTTTTGAGATTGTTTAAAAGTTCCTTAACTTATAAACAAACTCAAAAGTATTTTCATTGTATGTATAATTACAAAACTCTTTTTTTTTTTGTTTGTAAGCAATTTAATTTGGAATAATAAAATAAAAAAAGAATAAATATGAGGTAATCTTTGTTGAGAACAAATTAATTTTTTTATTGAACAATATTTTTATTTTTATTTATATACCAACTTAAATAAAATATACAAACATGTTAAAATATTTTAACATTACTTGTGTCATTTATAAACCGTAAGGCAGTTGCCCTTACGGCACCATTGGTTTTGAATAATATTTTATTTTGATGAAGATCACATAACTTACATTTGATTTTAATAACGCAAGTCTTCTTTTTTTTTTGTGTGATAGTTTCAATTCGAAAAGCATCTGCAAAGTCCCAGGATTTAAAAGTTTTCAAAGTAAATCTTTTGTCCTTCAAAATACAATCCATATTTAAACTTTATACAATTTGGAGAGAATAGAAATATACTAGCTTTTTATATACTAGTTTGTCTTATTTTATATAGAAAAATACATAGTCGTTAGTAAAGAGTAGAGATCGGCATTAAGCTAAAATGTGCCTTAGTATTTATTTAACAGAGTCTGTAATGTGCGCGTGCATAATGAAACCTCCGTTATATAAATATATTCAACGTAATATTGGTGTCGTATAATATATAAATATATTCAACGTAATATCAGCGGATGTTATAGTCTACTTGTGATTTTTTTACCTTATAATATAACTTGGCTCATGAAAAAAAAACTTATTGAATTGCACGCAGAAGAAATTTAACAAATTGTCTTCATTCAAAAATTGTAAGTAATAAGTAATTTTTTTTTCTTCTGTGCTGGTCCCCTTCCCTGGGGATAAATAAAAGGTAAAAATATCTATATACCTTTAACTAAGAAGAAAAGCAAAGAGTAATAATTAATGAAGAAGTAATTTTTAGAATAATACAAATAGATTGTTCATTCATTGCCATATTTTTTTTAATATCTTAAAAAAATCTTGATATTTTTGTTATCATGATAACAAAAATGTTAAGACATTTTTTGAGATATTAAAAAAATGTCAATCCTTAACTACAAATTTTTTGCTAATGTTTTTAATAAAAATTCAGTAAAAAACTCTAAAAAAATTTATATTACAAAAAACATATATTCTGAATTAATAAATTTGGATTTTTTTAAAGTTTTTTTACAGAAAACTTTAAAAAGATTAATACTTTTTATTAAAAACATTTGCAAATAAACTGTAGATAAGTATTGACAAACAATTTTTCATGTTGCTAAATATTTAGATAAGAAGTTTAGCATAAAGTAAATTGCTATAAAAAAGTAAGATATATCGCAATGAAAAGTTACTACAATTATTTTTAATGTAATTTCTTTTTTGAAACATTAAACTTTTTTGAAAAAGTAGCTTAACTGAAGTTGCCTAGAGTGACTTTGGTTAAGCTACTTTTTTATCATTTTTTAACTTTTAAATTAGCGGTACCATAAAAGAAGTAATTATGAATCCTTATTCAAAAGTTAAAGTGGTTTTTTGAAAAATAATTATTTCTTTTATGTTACAGCTAATTTAAAAGTTAAAAAATGATAAAAGGTACCTTAACCAAAATCGGTATAGGCGTATGTAAAAATCGCTAAAGGCGAATATAAATCGCTCTAAGCGTAATGCTTTAAAACAAGGCCTGATATATATATATATATATATATATATATATATATATATATATATATATATATATATATATATATATATATATATATATATATATATATATATATATTATCAAACCACTCTACCTCTATATCCTTGTTCTCTTATACAATTTCTGATTGTTTGAGCAGTCACTGTGATGTTATGATCTTGAACTTTTAGAGCTAATTTACCTGCTGAAACAAATCTATTTTTCAACACATTAATGATGACATTAATGATATTTCAATCAATTGCACTAGTGGTCTTGCGTTTTTATCCTCTACCAGCCACATTAGCAATGGTTCCAATCAGATTATACTTCTTAACAATTGAGAAAATGAAGTTTTGCTTTGACACAAATAACATCAATGTTTTGGTGTGCCATCTCAAAGTCCGGACTTAAATCCAATAGAAAATTGATGTTATATTTTGGACAGAAAAATTTGCAAACGAGCATTTAGATGCAAAGACAACTTGAAAGATACTATAATGAGGGCATGGGATAATATAACAACAGAAGAGACCCAAAATTTGGTCAACTCCATGCCAAATCATCTAGATGAAGCCACCAAGGCTAAAGGAGGCCCCACTTGATACTAATTTCTATGGAATTTGATTGATTTGACATTATTTTTGCAATATTTTAAATATTTTTAAAGGACAACTCATTTTTTTGATGCGATCTTTAAAATTTTGATTTTTTTTAAGTGCACGAGTATTTGTTTTGCATACTGTGTGTGTATATATATATATATATATATATATATATATATATATATATATATATATATATATATATATATATATATATATATATATATATATATATATATATATATATATATATATATATATATATATATATATATATATATATATATATATATATATATATATATAATATATATATATATATATATATATATATATATATATATATATATATATATATATATATATATATATATATATATATATATATATATATATATATATATATATATATATATATATATACACCTTACAGTGGTGTACACTGGATTTTTAAATGTTTGAATTTTGACACTTACATGCAATGTGCAAACTTCAAACTTTTGTATGTTCATGCTTATGTCAAATAAGAATGTTTTTCAAAGAGTTGTGGTGATTGGAGCTTGGGTTCATAAAACCCCCAATTTTTGGGCCCATCCAGCCCTTAATGTGGGAGCAACAAGTTTATAAAATAATTTCTTTAGTATTTTTATCTAAGTTTATATTCATCAACAAATTTCAAATTTCATGCAATAACCTCTTAGTGTTTAGTTTTAATGATCCTACAAAGTTTACAGTCCCCTCAAATTGAGGGGGGCTGAAACTTTATATGGTCATAATTTTCAAAAAATAAGACATTATTGCTTGAAATTTGAAATTTGTTGATGAATATAAACTTAGATAAAAATGCTAAAGAAATTATTTTATCAACTTGTTGCTCCCGCGTTTAGGGCTGGGTGGGCCCAAAAATTGGTTTTTTTTTTTGTCCCTAAGCTCCAATCACCGCAACTCTTTGCAAAACATTCTCATTTTACATAAGCATGAACATATTAAAGTTTGAAGTTTGCACAATGCCTGTAAGTGTCAAAACTCAAACATCTAAAAATCCAGTGTACACCACTGCCTTAGTACGCAATACTATTTGTATATATATATATATATATATATATATATATATATATATATATATATATATATATATATATATATATATATATATATATATATATATATATATATAGATATATATAGATATATATACATATATATACATATATATACATATATATACATATATATATATATATATATATATATATATATATATATATATATATATATATATATATATATATATATATATATATATATATCTGAAAAATCTTCTTTGTTTTAAAAGAGCAACTTGTTTTCAATAAGCATATTATTATATTTAGTTATGTTGGAGCAATTACAAAAATGGTTGAAAATGGAGGTGTTGTTCATTTTTTAAATAAGATATAAAACTTATAAAAATATTAATATATTTTTTTATAACTTTTAACATGTTTTTTAAAAAAATTTTAATATATTTTTTTATATAATAATCATGAGTAAAATAGATTATAAGTTCAAATATATTCTTTAGGAAAGACTGTATTTGAATCAACCAAAAAGCGTCTTGGTGATAAAAGAAAAAGATTAAGTCCAGGGAATCCAGAAGATATTGATGGATATAAAGGTGCACATTTATTTAATTAATTTTCTTTTTAGTTTATTTAATTACACTTCTTTTTTAGTTCAAGTTGAAGCTTTACTTTGCCCTTTTTAATCAGTTTTAATTTCAGCATCTTGTTAGCATATTTATGTTTTGTTCATAATAGAGTTTTGTTAAAAAAGTCAAATAGTTTTGGGCACTTTCTTTTTTCCCGGTTAATTTTGAAAACTTTTTTAAAGTACAAAAGGTTTATAAAAAATGTTTATGTTACTTTACCCCATATCTATTTCCCTATTTTGCCTTTTATTTGTAATTAATGAACGGTAATGTACTTGCAGCTTACAAAAATGGCAGACGTTTTTTAAGTATTAAAAACAAAAAGCTTTCAATACAGCACCAAAGATAAGAAACAAACATTTACACATCATAAATATTTAATTTTTTAAAATTTACTTTTTATTGTGTTTAATAAGTATCAATAAGAAATTTTTTTTACCATTATCTTTTTGAGCTAAAAGAAAATGTTAAGTGTTAAAATCATGGAATTTAACACTTAAAAAGCACAACAGCGTTAAAACAGTTGAGGTCAAACAATGATAATAATGAAAAGAGTTAAAGAATTGGAAAATAATAAATCAGTATCTACTTAGGCAAGTGTAACATGGGCAGATAAGCATGCTCATAACAGTACAATTGCAAGTGAAATGAACGAAAAAGAAAAAAAGACATAAGATATAAATCCAAGTTGTTGAGAAAAGAATTTAGGTATAAAAATAATGAATATGAAGAGGGAGAAATTTTTATTATGGTATCCAAAAGTATAAAGTAATAAAAATAAGGAGATTCCAATGAAAAGACGTTAAAATCACAATTTGATTATTTCAAGTAAATTAAGTTATTTAAAATGTTTATAAACAAATGCAACATTAGAAAGAACCAAATTAAATGAACTTTTGAAATAAAAGTAAAAAAAGCCAACTTATTTTTATAACAGAAACATGGCTGAATAATCTATCAGTAACAAATGTTTTGGTATTGTTACAAAATATCTGATTTTAAAAATACAGAACTAAAGAATACAAAGAAAAAAATGAGTAAAAATCTTGTTAAAACTACCATAAAAGCATATGAAAACTACCATAAAAGCATATGAAAACTACCATAAAAGCATATGAAAACTACCATAAAAGCATATGAAAACTACCATAAAAGCGTATGAAAACTACCATAAAAGCGTATGAAAACTACCATAAAAGCATATGAAAACTACCATAAAAGCGTATGAAAACTACCATAAAAGCGTATGAAAACTACCATAAAAGCATATGAAAACTACCATAAAAGCGTATGAAAACTACCATAAAAGCATATGAAAACTACCATAAAAGCATATGAAAACTACCATAAAAGCGTATGAAAACTACCATAAAAGCGTATGAAAACTACCATAAAAGCATATGAAAACTACCATAAAAGCATATGAAAACTACCATAAAAGCGTATGAAAACTACCATAAAAGCATATGAAAACTACCATAAAAGCATATGAAAACTACCATAAAAGCATATGAAAACTACCATAAAAGCATATGAAAACTACCATAAAAGCATATGAAAACTACCATAAAAGCGTATGAAAACTACCATAAAAGCATATGAAAACTACCATAAAAGCATATGAAAACTACCATAAAAGCGTATGAAAACTACCATAAAAGCGTATGAAAACTACCATAAAAGCATATGAAAACTACCATAAAAGCATATGAAAACTACCATAAAAGCGTATGAAAACTACCATAAAAGCGTATGAAAACTACCATAAAAGCGTATGAAAACTACCATAAAAGCGTATGAAAACTACCATAAAAGCGTATGAAAACTACCATAAAAGCGTATGAAAACTACCATAAAAGCGTATGAAAACTACCATAAAAGCGTATGAAAACTACCATAAAAGCGTATGAAAACTACCATAAAAGCGTATGAAAACTACCATAAAAGCGTATGAAAACTACCATAAAAGCGTATGAAAACTACCATAAAAGCGTATGAAAACTACCATAAAAGCGTATGAAAACTACCATAAAAGCGTATGAAAACTACCATAAAAGCGTATGAAAACTACCATAAAAGCATATGAAAACTACCATAAAAGCATATGAAAACTACCATAAAAGCATATGAAAACTACCATAAAAGCATATGAAAACTACCATAAAAGCATATGAAAAGAAAATCGCAGTAGAATCAAAAGCAAAATCCAAAACAAATTTATGCTTATACCATTGGGAACTAAAACAAAGGACAACATATGGTCATATATTACTGATTAAAATGATTTATCTAATAACATGCAGGTTATAGCAAGCTATTTAAACAGGTTCTTCTGTTCTATATTTACAAATGAAAATCATAAGATTCTATTATGTGAAAGTGTAACAAATTCAGTTTTCCTAATTCCGTTGTTTAACTAAAATTGATATAGCAAACTGATTAGAAAAATTTAATGTAAAAAAATCTCCAGGAAGTGACAAAGTTGATCAATTAGACTTAAAAAATTGTGCAGGAAGTCTTAGGTAACTGTTGTGTATTATTTTCAATTAATCACTTAAATCAGGAACTCTACAAGAGTTTTGGCTTGAAGCAAACATTACACTGTTGTTTAAAAAAGGAAATCGTTTAAAGTCTAACAGCTACAGACCAATCTTTGTTAACCTCGATAGTATGCAAGTTAATTGGAATTTTTATCAGAGAATAATGAAACACCTTGTTGATCACAATTTAATAACCAAAAACCAACATGATTTTATAAAAGCAAAAAGCTGCATTACAAATCCACTTAAAACCTTAGATATGCTAACTGATCTTAAATAAAAATGTCTATGCTGATATTGCTTTTTTAGATTTCGCAAAAGCATTTGACTAAAAATAATAAAAATAATAGTAACTCCCTTTAAGATAATTTAAATTTTCTTTTTGAATGGTCTTAATAAAACTTAAAAAAGCTTCAATAACAATAAATAAAGATAATGCTTATAGGTCATGATTACCCAAAAACAAATACATGCTTAAATGTAATACTAGTAGAAATAGGAACCTCTAGAAAAAATTATAAAGATACATTGTGAGAAAGAGAGGTGTATATATTTGAAATGTTTTAAAATGAGAACATCATTGAGTCCATTGTTAACTATATCGACAAAAATACAATGAAACTATTATACACATCACTCGTGCAACTATATTCATTTCAAACATGGAACCCATTTTATGTTATAGGTAAGCATAAAATGGGTTCAGAGTTTTCTATAAGATAAATATCTTATAGAAAGATAAACTCTCTCTATCAGATATTTATCTTATAGAAAGAGTCCAACAACGAGCAACTAAAATTTGTTTCCAAAAACGGTGTTAACTATTAAAAAAGGTTACAAAATATGGAAGTTTCAAAATTGGTTGATAGATGGTGATCTAATTCAAATGTTTAGATAGCAAAACAATAAAACCACAATGAACCTGAAAGGATTGCTAATGCTACAAGAGGGCATTATCAGAAAATAAGTAAACAATTAGTAAGAAACTTATTTTCTTCACCAAGTGGTAGAAGTTTGGAATATCCTAGATCAAGATGTTATTAATGTGAATTCTGTAAATGATTTCAAAAACAAACTAAAATGTTTTAAATAAAAATAGCTGTTAAAATCTAACATTTACTTTTTTGTTAGACTCATTTTTCTTGGTTATTTTAATAGTATTTTATTTATATATAAATTATCCAAATTGGCCATTTTTTTAAATTAGATCTTTTTATTCAAACTTTTGATTATTGACAGTCTTACGACTTTTGGATGCGTTTTAATTTATTTAAGTTGCTAGTATGAATATAATACTATTACTAATTTAGCAAATGCTTATATGCTTAAGAAATGTTTTTATTGCATGACTCAAAATTGAAATGAGAAAAGAAGTTGTTATAGTGAACTAGTTGTTTTAAGGTTGTTTATAAAATGAATTTTAAAATAACTACTTTATTATATTAATTATATATTAAGTAATATTATATTATAAGTAATAATTACTAGCATGAGTTTTAGATATTTAGTTTTGTGTATTGTGTTTTTTTATTGATTTTGTGTGTAATTGTTATTAAGTTCATTTATTTATGTAAAAGGTGTGTATACACTGATTTATTTCTTTGTGTATGAATTGATAATTTTAATGTAAATATTAGGTCCATGGGCTCCATTTGTTGATCAAAAGGTTTCATCCAAACCAAATGAGGTACTTTAAATTTGACAGCTTGTAACTAAAATTTAAATTATATTTTAAGTAAAATAAGTATTTTCAAATAAATTTTTAAGGAACAACAAACAATTCTTACTGAATATGAAGAAAAGAAAGAGAAGAAAAGCAAAAAAGACGATGAGAAAATCGAAGAGAAATCTCGAGCACATAGTATGTAAAAATATTAGAATTACTAAATTCATAATTAATAGAAATTTTTAAATGGTAAAATGTGAAAAAAAATTTTTTATTATCAATAACAACTTATATGATTACTTTTATATTTATTATAGTTGATGACTTGTATGATTACCAAGGTCGATCTTTCTTACATATTCCCGTTGATGTGGATGTTGATTTAAAGAAAGATGAACCACCAGAAAAGTGTTTTCTTCCAAAAAAACTTATTCATACATGGTCTTTTTTAGTTACTTACTTTTTTTTTTATTTCTTATATATTTTTTTTTTAATCAATTTCCAGTTTGTTTTTTGTTTTTGTTTTTGTTTTGCTTTTTTATTCCTTTTGTAAGGGTTACTCTTACTCTAGCACTGAAACTTATTTTTAATTTATTTTTAATTATATTTTTAATTTCAGTATATTAAGTTTAAGACTAGAGTTTATTTTTAGGTCAGGTCATTCAAAAGGGGTTACTGCAATCCGTCTTTTTCCTAAATCTGGACACTTGCTTTTGTCTTCGAGTATGGATTGTAAGATTAAGGTGAATTAGTTAAATATTTTGTTTGATTTTCTAACTTTTAATGATATCAGTAGCAGTAAGGATTGCAAGCCTATTGTTTATTTGGATTATAATGGATCTTTGTTACTTTTTTTTTGTTATCGCTATTTCTTGTTAAAGGGATCTTCTAGTGCCAAGACAAGTTGTGTTTATATCACAGATAAACATTAGTTAGTTAAAAGTTAATGAAACTTTTCAAAATAAATTAGTGTATGAGATATTAACAAATAACTTTTTAATTTTTAACGCCATTTTGTATCACTAGCAGTTACTTAAGCCTATTTTTTATATTGATTATAATTCCTCATTGTTACTTTTTTACTGTTATCGTTATCTCTTGTTATCGTTATCTCTTGTTATCATTATCTCTTGTTATCGTTATCTCTTGTTAATAATTACTGAAAATAATATTAATGTAATTACTGAAAGTAATATTAATTATCCTCCTCATTAAAAAAACTTTAACACAAAAAGTTTGCACTTGTTTAAAATAATTCTTTGAACTTACTATTAATCATAGCAAGAACTAATCAGCAGTTCAAACTCAAAAACTAATTTAAAGTTTGTTTTCTAAAGTTAAAACTAATTTTGTATTAACTAAAGTTGAAGGAATAAATATTATCTAATAGTTAGAAATAAAGAAGGGATAAATATGAATCTAGTAGCTAGCAAGGTTTAAATATGGTTATATTACTGTAATTAATTGTTTTTGCAAATGGATGAAAAAAAAAAGGAAATATAATATAAATAAATGTAAATAACAAAAATAAATTCTAAAAATAATTTTTTATAATAAAATAATAAATTTAAATATGTATAAATAAAAATAGAAATAAAATAAAAATTTAAAAAAGGTATGTTTATATATATATATATATATATATATATATATATATATATATATATATATATATATATATATATATATATATATATATATATATATATATATATATATATATATATAAGTGTATATATATATATATATATGTGTGTGTGTGTGTATATATATATATATATATATATATATATATATATATATATATATATATATATATATATATATATATATATATATATATGTATATATATATATATATATATATATATATATATATATATATATGTATGTATATATATTATATATATATATATGTATATATATGTACATAGATAATTACATTTTGTATTGTTATTGTAAAAATCACCTATATAGGTATTTAAACAAATTTAAAAGTTTAAATTCAATTAAAGATGACTAGTGATAGTCGAAATATGTATCGTTTAAAATTAATAAAATGGTTTTATTAATTAAAATTTTTTTCTTGTTTATTAAAATATGTATATATATATATATATATATATATATATATATATATATATATATTTATATTTTATACTTTATAATATATATATATATATATATATATATATATATATATATATATATATATATATATATATATATATATATATATATATATATATATTATTTATACTGTTGTTATTGTTTTTAAAACAATCTTTTTTATAATAATTCTATATCTAAAGTTTATTATGATTATTGATCACTTAAAACTTGTATAACAATAACATAATAATAGATAACGAAATCAAAAGGTTTTAAAATTTATTTAATAATACAAATAGTATAAAAATGTAAGATAATAGAAATATAACACAAAAGTAAAAATTATAATAAGTAAATATAAGTATCTGAGTTTGTTCTACTATGAAAGTATTTTGTATAATAAACAAAGTTCTTATATTATAAAATCAATTGCTCAAGTGAGCTTCATCATTTCATCAACCAAAACTCTTGTGTCACTCATCATTCGTTTCATTTAACTTTCATGCTTAAAAGAATTTATCTAGTTTTCTTGATCCAATTTATGTAGTCTTCTGTCATCCATTTTTTTTGTCTTTCGACTCTATTAAATTTTTTCTATTAAACTTCAAACTTATTTAGTGATTGCTTGTTTGGAGTGAATTTGTTAAAAAAAAAATTTAAAACAACCATAACATGTTGATTTAATATTAATTTGTCCAAATTCTAAACTTTGTAATACTTTTTAATATACTGATCCAATATTGTAGATAATTGCTATAATTTATAACAAAAGATCTGGTAATTGTTGTTATTATTAATAAATAATTAAATTTGTTTTATATATCTTATAACCTTATTGAAGATAATAACTGATAGCTATTTTCAATGAAAATGTTAAAATAAATGAATAGTTAAAATGTTAATAAAAGTTTTTTCAATTAAAAAAAAAAAAAAAAATTTGAATAGATAATCAAAGTTTAAAATTAATCTAATAATTTCAATTTGAATGTTATATATAGATAAATATAAAACTTAAATAAAAACCAACTAAATAAATTAATTTTTTAATTGTATTACATAAACAGATAAATATTTACTATAGTTGTATAATAATTAAAAAATTATATATAAAGCAAACAGACTTAAAGTAGTGTTTTTATGTAAGCTTACAATTGTTTATTTAAAAAGAATATATTCAGGCTTGGTCGGGAAGCGAGAATGATCGCTCTCGAATACTGACCAAGGAAAATATATTTAGTGGCGAAAAACTGGGATTTTCAGTTTTTTTGAGAACATTTAAGTCTATATACGAAACAAAAAATTTTTATTTTACGGACATACACGGAAACATAAAAAACTTGAATGTTCTCAAAACATCTTGGTGCGTGATAATAAAAAGAATATTCGCAAACACTAAAAACCGAACAAATTAATTCTATTGGTTCAAAAAATATGCTGACTAAGCAAAATAAAGTTCTAGAGTATTCTGTTAAAATGTTTAAAAATTGTATTCACAATTTGTTACGTCTTGAGATTTTTTACGTTTCTAGCATAAATTGTTTTAAGAATACATTATTGATACTATGGCTCATTCTCGGAGCCACACCTGCAAAGTCATAAACTATTATTTATTTAAAAAAATAAATGTTTTCAATAAACATTATTTAAATTGTCAAAATTTTGAAAGTTTTGTATAAATTATAGATTTTATTATTATATTCTTATTTTTTATTTAAAAAGTATGTATTTTTTTTGCAAATGTAATTTTGTGTATTTGTTTTTTATCATAATGTAATCTTTTAAAGCAATTTTTATGATTTAATTTGTAAACAAAGACTTACAAAAATAATTGCGTTTTCAATGAAGTTATTAATAATCATTAAAGTTAATAAAACTGATTGTGTAACAAACATATAAGAAGTTTCTGGTTACTAAACACAAACAATGCATACAAAATAACTTGCGGATGAACAAGTACCGCGCCTGAGGTCATGACAGAACACAAATATATATAGCAAGTTATTAGATATAAAGAAAAGTTTCTAAATATTGGTTTACTGATTATTTTCGCTCTAATTGCCATTCTTAAAACTTGTTATACTTTTTTCTGCTTTAAGAACTAATTAAAATAAAACAACCCACTCACTAAACATCATCAGCAATATTGTGAAACAGTTTCGCTTCTTCGTCATATAGTATTTTTAACCTTTTTAGTTGATTTCTATCTAGTTAATTTAATTTTTATAGTAATTCAATGATTTAATTATTTCATTTGTTTATCTTACTAAGAAGAATTGTTTCAAATATGTTAAACTTTTTAAACTACGTGAAACATAAAATAGGTATTAAAAAAATTACCTTTTTTATTTATAAAGTAGTTTAGCTTAGACAAAACTAAAACGTGCAAACTTTGTTAAATAAAGAACATTTGTTTCCTTTTTTAATAAAAACCGTCTCTTAATTTTATAAAAAATTTATAAAAGAACGATGTTTCGAAAATATTTGCCCTAAACATAATTTATTTTGCTTTAAGTTTTTTCGCGTTAAAAGTTTTTTTTTTTCCTAATTTTTATTTTTTTTTGTTCATTGTTTCTCATCGGTCCAATTAATCTTTTGCGCATTTTTTTTTTCTTTTTGAAATGTTCTCAAAACAACTAAAAAAACTAGCCAGCTTTTTGCAACTAAATATTATTTCCCTGGTCGGCAATTGAGAGCGATGGCTCCCGCTTCCCAACCAAGCCTGTATATTGTGTTGTTCTTGGTCATAGTGTTGAACTGGTTTTTTTTGGAGGGCAGATGTTTCTTCCTGTTGTTGTGAATGCAAATATGAAGCCCCTAATTTGATTGTGGGTAGTAGATGCTTGTAAATCTAGAATGGTAATCCTCTTAGTGGTAGTATCGCTAATCTATAAAGTAGATTAATGGCAAGACATTAAGCTGTTAAAAATTCTTCTATGATGTCATGTTTAGATAAAATTTGGACAGATGAGCATTTTGGGAAATTTGTCTAAACCACACAAATGTGAAACTATTTTCATTAAACATTAAAAGAGAAAAATATAATTGGTATTTAAATTTATATATATTTTACATCGATTTAACATAATGATGTTTAATGTATAAAATGGTATATTGAATATATTCAAACAAGAAAAGCTATTAACTTAAAGTTTTATTCTACAAAATAGCCTTATTTTATACTATACAAAAATGGTTTTAAAAATTGTAGACTCAAAATAAAATTATCATAATATAAAAAATACTCTGTAAAAACAAAATGTTAAAGATCAAATCAGAAATCATTATTTTTAAAAAATACTCTGTAAAAACAAAATGTTAAAGATCAAATCATAAATCATTATTTTGGGATGGAGTAATACTTGCAGCCACTTTCTGAGATATTTTATTAGATGTTCTGATATTAGACTGTTCCAATTCAAATAAACAAATAATGAATGAATAAAATTCAAATGCTTTAGTTCATATTGTTAAAACTTTATATTTTTAACTTTAATATTTTAAAACCATGAATTGCCAGCTGTACCTTTTAGGTGTTCACCTATTTAGCAAAATGTACCAGGTTCCTTAGATGGCTTTTGCTCCTATGCAAGATTGTCTCAAATAATACTGTTGAAAGCAACAGAAAATTACTTCACTTGTTTGGTAACAATGCTCTTGTGGTGATTAAATGTATTTTAAATAGATTAGTTATAACAGATTTTCTGTCAAAAGTGGTTTTTTTGTGTGTTTATTTTCATACTTGTTTCATAGTTGTTGTTTTTTTAAAGTACCAGTTTTGTTTTTTATTGCTTTTCTATTCTACTTAAAAATTAAAAGCTTTAAAAAACAATAAAATTTCTTTTTATTGTTCAATGATCGATTGGTGTCAATTTTACTCCAAGATTTTATATCATCCAAAACATCATTTAACAGTTCTAAAAATTTTTATACATCTGTCCCTACATTCAAATCAGGATTTCCCAGGAAAGGCGTGCGGTCGCACGCCTTGTTTGTCCACGCATAGAATAAATTTTTCTGACTAACTGACCACGTTTTATTATTATGCGTTTCAAGAATTCGCGCCAAAACAAAGCTAAACGAAAATACCGCAAAAATGCAAGCAATCTTAAAGTAAATAACAGAAATCTGTTTGTGCTTTAAAATTAAAAAATTAATGTATATTATTAAAAAAAGATTTACCTACATTTTATTTATTTATTTTTTTAGGGTGGTAGTTATTTTAGCTATAAAAAATCAAATCAATAAGAAAAATCAAATCAAAAAGAAAAAGATTAATGTTTAAAGAAAATAAAAGGACCTTTTAATGTAAATTTGTTTACGACTTTTATCAGTCAGTAATACTTTAAAATTCACGATAGAACTATAAACAATTTTTAAATGTTTCGTAAATACATTTAAATGTTTAAATGTATTTAAATGTATTTAAATGTATTTTAATGTTTGAATGTATTGATACGCAAGAAAACACGAAAACGATTGCTATTTATTAGTAAAATAAGCTTTTTTTTTTTTTTAAATGAATGAAAATGTTATTGTCAAACGATTGAGTTGGTTTTTTTGCAATCATTAATTGACGTTGTGAACGAGTGTTAATATATAATGATGTCCCGAAGGAACTGTTTTCGTAACGATGACAACAGAAGCAATGCAATTATTTTTTTAACTTCTTTCGTAATAACAAAATTATGCAATTGAATAATTTCAACGTAATAAAAGGCGAGCATTGACGCAGTAAAATCAGTTTAGAATAAGTCGAGAACTTTTTTCACATTATAATTTTGTTATGTTTAAAATCTCAAATAATATATTTAATAATTAAAACAGCAATTTATTTTCTTGTCTAAGTATTGGGGAATAAAGTCATTGCCTTTGCATAAACCTTCGTAAAAACTAAATTAAATGAAAAAGTTTGACCAAATTTGTCTAGCGTAAATAATGAATCAATTTTTTAATACATTGTCTAATAAAGTTCGTGAATAAATTACGTATCAAGTCTTTTTATTTTCGTAAAAACTTTATGACTTATCGTTGTCTTTTCCTTAACTTGTATCAAATTTCGTAGCTGAAAATAGCAACCCTAATAAAAGAAAACAAAAACAGTTTAAAATTTGGAAAAAAATGTTCAAGACTTTTTTTTTTTGTTACAAGAATTTTTTTTTTTTAATTTTTTTTTATTATCGAAATATTTTTCTTACATCCAATTTCAATTTTATACTTTGTTTAGACTTCGTTTCATTTTTTAAATATTATTTTTTATTCTCTATGGATAATATCCGCTTTCTTACGAAATATTGCCGCGGTCACATTTTCTGAAAAATTTATTCCATGCATGGACAAACAAGGCGTGCGACCGCACGCCTTTCCTGGGAAAGCCTGATTCAAATATACATCAATATTTATAGATCAATGTTTGTGTAGATTTATGATGATTTATATTGTGATTTCATATATTAATATAAGGGTGACGCTTTTTTTTAATATAATAAAGTTAGGGCTTAATTGTTTTGACAAAAGTTTAATTATTTGTATACATTTATATATTTTAGTTTTTCTTGTTTTAGATTTGGGAAGTATATAATAAACGAAGAAATATCCGCACTTATATAGGTATAACTTTTAATAGTAATTATACATATGTCATTAAAAATATTTATTTTTAATTACTATGACCTTTGCTTTTATAAAAGCAATGAGAGACAAAACACAAAATTGCTTGTTGTCAAAGCACAATTTACTTGTTGTCATGGAAATTTATTTTGGGTTTTTGACAATTATGACTATTTTTCTATGGTTCTAATAAAGTAATCAAAAAATCTGATGACCGATACTCTTTTTTAAAATGGGGTATCAGTTTGATAAACTTGATGAAATTGTAGTTTTAGTGAATGTTAAAAATCCACAGATGTTTGTGGATGTATAGCACATAAATAGTAATAGTAATATATTTGAGCTGTGACCGATAATTCCTTGTATGTACCAAGTACACTTAGACAGCTATATCATTATTCAGCATAGTTTATTTAAAATCTATATGTCAAGTTTTGCCTTGAAAGAATTCACAGAAGTAGCATTAACGACATGATAAAAATATTCGAAGTTATACTTTAAACAAATAATTTTATTTAAACAAATATTTCAGAATGAAAAGTATTCATTAATAATAAAATTTCATTTTGTGACTCGTTTTCCTGACAACTCTAATCATTTACCTTCACTCCTTGACTTATGTCTTGTCTCTGACCCTAGCTTATGTTCAGTTTCTCCCTTTTCTCCCCTAGGTGGTTCTGACTATGCAATGATCTCTATAAATCTTTCTTCTGGTACTTCTTTTTTGGGCTCACCTTATCATCGCACCACCTACTACTACCCTAAAGCTGACTGGGATTCCTTTCGTGATTTTCTTCGTGATGGTCCTTGGGCTGATGTTTTTTCTCTCTCAGCTGACAAATGCGCCTCCTACGTAACCTCCTGGATTCAGGCTGGAATGGAAGCTTTTATTCCTTCTCGTCGGTTTCAAGTCAAGTCTCATTCTACTCCATGGTTTTCTCCTTCTTGTGCGGCTGCTATATCCAATCGTAATCATTTTTTTCATCTTTTTCAAAAGAACAACTCTCTTGAGTACAAGAAATCGATGTAAAAAGGTGCTTTCTGATGCTAAACTCCATTATTCTCAGTTCACTAAATCTCGCATCTTATCGCAGAAGTTAGGCTCTAAAGACTTTTGGAAAATCTTCAACAGCATTATTAACAAGGTTAGATATAACATTCCATCTCTCATTCATGGGACTGATCTTAGTACCTCTCCCAAGGATAAGGCAGAACTATTTGCAAAGAACTTTTCTTCTAATTTCACTCTTGAATCTTATGGACATTCTCTTCCTTCCATTCCAGTCAAACAGGTTGACCCATTGTTAGACATTCAAATCACTCCGGCTTCTGTTGCTAAAGTCATATCTCAATTAAACTCATCTACAGCTTGTGGTCCAGACAACATTCCTGTCACAGTCTTGCAGAATTATTCTCCAGAACTTTCTTCAATTCTCTCTAAACTATTTAACAAGTGTTTGACTGAGTCTTGTTTTCCTGCTTGTTGGAAAATGGCATCTGTGGTTCCAATATTCAAAAACTCTGGAGAAAATTCTGACCCCTCCAATTATCGTCCGATCAGTCTTCTTCTTTCTGTTATTAGCAAGATCTTTGAGTCTTTGATCAACAAATTCCTCACATCTCATCTTGAGTCAAATAAACTACTGTCAGACAATCAATACGGTTTTCGATCCTCTTGCTCTACGGCCGACTTGCTAACTGCTGTAACTGAAAGATTTTATCGTGCATTAGATGGAGGCGGTGAGGCTAAGGCTATTGCTCTCGACATATCTAAAGCTTTCGACAAAGTTTGGCATGCTGGTCTTCTCCATAAGCTTGCTTCATATGGTGTTTCTAGGAAAGTTTTTGAGATTATCAAATCATTTCTTTCTAACCGGTTTATTAAAGTCATCCTTGAAGGCCAACACTCTTCTTTATTTCCAGTAACTTCTGGGGTTCCCCAAGGTTCCATCCTAGGCCCTGTTTTGTTTCTTATCTACATAAACGACTTCCTGAAAACCTTTCATCTAAAGTAGCTCTTTTTGTTGATGACTCAACTTTATACTCCTGTCTTGACAAAAAGTCTTTTCGATCGCCTAGAACAAGCAGCTGATCTTGAATCCGATCTCACTTCAGTAATAGATTGGGGTTCACAGTGGCTTGTGAATTTCAACTCTAACAAAACCCAGTTGTTTACTGCAAACTACTGTAACAACTACTGTAATATGGTCAACATTCCTATATTAATGAATGACAATCCTCTTACTGAGCCCTCCTCTTTACGTCTTCTTGGATTATCGCTTACTACTGATCTTTCATGGAAACCATATATACAATCGATTGCTAAATAAGCTTCTGCTAAGGTTGCTTCTCTTTGTCAGGCTCACCATTTCCTTACTTCTGATTCCATTCTCTACCTGTACAAATCTCTTATTCGTCCCTGTATGGAATACTGTTGTCATATTTGGGCTGGTTCTTCTAACGATTCACTTTCTCTTCTTGACAAGGTCCAAAAACGCATTGTAAATGTTGTTGGACCTGGACTATCTGCTAAGCTTGAACCTCTTTCCCATCGTCGTAAAGTTGCATCTCTTTCTCTTTTCTACAGATACTATCATGGTCACTGCTCAAAGGAGTTATCATCTCTAGTTCCATCAACTAAAATTCATTCTCGTTTTACTCGTCATTCAGCTAAGTCTCATTCGTTTACTGTATCTGTCCCTGCATGCTCTAAAAACTTTTATTCATCTAGTTTTTTTCCCCGCACTTCAATCCTTTGGAACTCTCTCCCATCTTCATGTTTTCCGGACTCATACAACCTTCAACTTTTCAAGTCTTCTGTCAACCGTTTCCTTGCTCTATAACTCTGTTCTTTTTTTTCCTAGTAACTCCCAACTTAATAGTGGTTGCTTGCAGCTTTGTTGGGAGTGAATGCAAATAAAAAAAAAAAAAAAAAAAAAAATTTGATATTCATCAACAAATAATTGCAGCTTAAAAACAGAAAAGTTATTGATATATTATCAATCTGTGTGTGTGTGTGTAAAAATTCATACAAATCTTCAGGTTTCAGGTAATATAATTTTAATATCAACATGCATTTATTTAAAAATATAATTATTTATTATCTGCATAAATTATTATTTAATAAATAAATTGTTCAAAAGCTTATAATTTTATGGCACATTTGTTGCAACAATTAGATTAGAGAATATGTTCATTCTTTTAGAAATGATTTTAGAAATAATCTTATTGTAATTGCCAATGGTCTAAAACAACTTTTTATTCAGCAAACAATTGTATGTACAAAGTTGTAAACACAAATGTAGAAATTTACTCAAACACAAACAAGTGAACTTTATTATTTATAAACTGCTTACTTTTATGAAAGCATAAAAAAGCATTTTTTGAAAGTGAAACTTGCATCAAAATGCTTCAATTTTTAATTTATTACAAAGATTAATATCTTTGTAATAAATTAAAAATTGAAGCATTTTGATGCAAGTTTCACTTTCAAAAAATGCTTTTTTATGCTTTCATAAAAGTAAGCAGTTTATATTTACTCATCTACACAGATTCCTAAATATACCAGTCTTTATTAAATTACTTGCACACACTGTATTAACAGCTGGTTTAAAATTTTTTTTTTTTAATTTTTTCAACGTTTTTGCTTACCTAGGTTTGCATTTTAAAAGTTTTTGCTTAAACAACGTCTAAACTATTGATACCATAATATATAGTTTGGTAACTATATATTATTGCATCAGTAGTTACATTGATACAATATTATATAGTTGCATTGCATGATAACAACAAACTTATCATACAATGTTGCTCAAATAGTTCTTATTACTTCTAGTTTCTTTTTTTTAAACAATTACAAAATTTTATTTGGCAATTGTTTAATAATTGCCTAATAAAATAGACCTCCTCGCAGTTCCAATAAATTAGTGCGCGCACATTTAACAGTACGTCATTGTTCCTTGTGCGCAGAATCGCATGAAAGAAAGTAAATACACAAATATATTATGAAAGCATTCTTGAAAGAAACAGTTGTTTACATGAGATTTCATTACTTTTATTCATAATAAAAATATTGATTTTGAATTATTTAACTTTATTTTAACTATTTTAGAGATAAATTTGTATTATTTATATATTTATACTTTTTATATGTTTGTTTTATAGGATATATATGAAAGAAATAAAAGCTCTTAAAGAGTACTCTTGCATTGTGCATTGAAATAAAAGCTCTTAAAGAGTACTCTTGCATTGTGCAGTGCATTGATAGTTGTGTTTGTGTTGTGTGTGTGTATATATATATATATATATATATATATATATATATATATATATATATATATATATATATATATATATATATATATATATATATATATATATATATATATATATGTTGCGAAGGTTACTAACCATTCAAGCGGAACGCTTGGGTTAGGTGAACCGTGAAGAAGATTTAACATAAACAATATAAACTAAACAATTCGTTCAAGAACCAAAACGCATCTAGCGTCTGGGGAAATTGTATAAAAACGCGAAGAAGACGAGATATGTGTGTGTATGTGTATGTATGTGTATGTGAATATAGATAGAGATATAGATTTGGATAAGGATATGGATAATTAGAGAAAGACGAAAAGAAGAGAGAAGAACGAGAAGATAGTTGATTGAAGACGATGAGTACAATGAGCAGTTTGATAGAAGTTACTGGTCGTTTATAAGTTGGACAATTCTTGGGTGTTGGCAACTAATACTACTCGTTTTAGCTATATTGTAACAATTATTTTGTAATTATATAAAATATGCGGTAGTGGTGTAGTGGTAGAGCGCTCGCTTCATAAACGAGTGGTTCCGAGTTCAATCCCCACCACGTCCCTGGTAGTACCGCGCTCAATTCGTTTCTCCGCGCAGCGGCCTTGTTCGTCAAGGTTCGTGTTTCGGAGTTACAGAGTTGAGAGAGGGTTGTAGCCACAAATAAGTAGCCTCCTCGTCTGTAGTGGCCT